CCCCCCCCCCTCCCTCCCTCCCTCCCCCCTCCTCCTTCTGTTCCACTAGTCTCAGCCATGGGCATTTGTGACAAGCGTCAGGGTGCAGTGCTGGCCTCGGGTAAGCTCTTGTTGAGATCAGAAGACGATTGTGCTTCAAAAACAGACAAATCATAATGAAGGAGGACAAGACAAGACACAAGGCCCGAGCCAACACAAAGGAACAGATAGCAATGACACCACCTTGGATACACAGTCTGCGACTGCATGGTCTGTATGATTTGTATGGCTGGAAGAAATTCCTCTTGGGGACTACCGCCCTGGAAATTATTCAGGGATAAAGGATGATTACTAACTGACCACCTCAGGCGACCACGACTACAGACAAGAGACTGATGGGGGGGTTGCAGACACCTGGGATTGAACTAGGACTGACAAACTAAAAGGGGACAGCAAAGGAGGAGTCAGTTGGCAATCTCCAGGGAGGGACTGGGTCAGCAGGAAGAAGGAGCTCTAGAAGTAGGAAGGGTGTTGAGGCAGCCCCAAAGGGAAGTTGGTGCTCCAGGTTAGGAAACGATAATGCCACAGTCCCAACAAAGGTTGTGCTGAGACGACGTATCTAAGGGACGCTGGACCCGGTTTCCAGCAGGTGAAGCTCCCTACCAATAGATGGAGCAGCCCGGCCGACAAAGCCTCAATTATGGAGGTTCTCTTACCACCTCCGGAATAGAGGCTTTGCACAACGGGCCTTTGTTTTCAAAAAAAAAAAAAAAAAAAAAAGAGAAGGGGATTTTTCCGTCCGTAAATCCAATCCAAGACATGGGCAGAATGGGATCATTCCTGGCGTTTCAGGCCGTGCTCAAACTCAAACACCTCTGACTGATGAGCTCCAGATAAAGCGCTGGCTGAGCTGTCCTGGTATGGCATTGACTAGCCTGGTTGGCTATTGTTCTCAGCGGTAGGGGGCTGCAGGCGGAGTGGGGAAGATCTATTGGCCTGAAAAGGCCTGCATCAACATCCATGGAGAGTTAACCCCCCACCTCAGGGCTGGGGCAATCAATTCTGAGTCTCCTAACCCGTCTTGAGCGACAGTGGAAAGATTGCCCACCCCTGAGTGGGTTCCGCTCATGGATCCTGGGCAGTTAAACAGGGTTGTTATGAAGGAGGTCGGGCCCATTTCCCAGCAGCTGCAGCTGTGCATGTGCATGTGCCTGTGCGTGCGTGTGTGTGTGTATGCGTGTGCGTGTGCATGTGCGTTTGCGTGTGTGTGCATAAGTGTTTGTCCCGCATAATATGACATGTTTGTGGTATGATACGGAAACTGCATCATAATCAAGCTCCGAAATAATATATCAGTGGACCTTAAGAATGAAAACTTGCAGGCGTGGTGCAGACGCATCCGGTACTCGGAGGTGGGGAATAACTATGCCGGGCTACATGAGCATGCTCAGGAACAAGAACTTGTAGGCGTGGTGCAGACGGAACCTATACTGTAAGGTGGGGAATAACTATGCCGGAGTAAACGAGCATCCATGCTCCCACTTCTCTTTGCGGGCGAACTGGAACACACACGATCGAACAGACACCACAAGACGGGGAAAGGAAGCACAATAAGGCAAAAGGCAAGGAGGCAACAACAACAAACTGCAGAAAGGCACAAGGACTGGGGGGCACGGGGGAGGTGGGAGGGCAGACCATACATAAATGCACAAAACAAGGAAAGACAAAAGAAAAGTGCAAGTACAGAAAGATACCCCCAGCATAAGACAACAGACAGCAGCAAAAGACAATGGGTGGAGGGCACGAGGGAGGCGGGAGGGTAGGCGTCACTCAAACATAGAAAGCAGGCAAAACAAAAAATATACAAGTCCCCCAAAACAACGAAGACCGAAAAAAATAAAAAAACGATGATGACAAGATTGTTTCATCGGAGATGCACCTACTCATCAGGAGGCTGAACCCTCGACAATCTGCGGAATCTTCGTATTTTTGATTTGGGTCATGAACCCTTTGAACCTTGTTGAAGGCAACACACAACTGGACACTAAATGTTCGGATGCGCAGGGTGCCTGCAGTCAGGAACGGTGGGACAGTCCTCTGCACACATGGATGCAGAAACCATGTCATTGTAGTGATTGTGACGGAGACGATGGCAGCTACAGCCGAGTGTAACAGTGTTTGTGGCTGTGCAAAGGAGAAGGTCGCAGAGTGTTGGTACATTGTCTTGCTGCAGAATGGGGCCAGAGGAATGATCTTCGACATAAAAGAGATTGCGGAGGTTTGTTGTGGCAAGAAAACAGCATCATTTTGTAAGAAATCACTGATATCAGTCATGGCATGGACCATGGTGCCGTTGTAGCACAGCTCCCAGTGGTCAGAGGCAAGTACAATGGCCATGTAATGGCCAGGGCTTGCACAATGCAGGCAAAGATGTGGGATGGAGGATTAAGCCACTCACCTGCTCAAGCACTGCGTAGTTCAAGTTGACGGTCCCTCATTGCTACTTGTAGGACAGCAATGGTAAAGCCTATTTCGCTGGTATAATTACAATCCTCTGGTTGTAGTTGGGGAAGATCAGCATCAAGCTGAAGGGCGATTGCAAGGAAGTCTGATGGTGTATAAAACGGGCGGTGGAGAATGTGAAGACAAATATAAGCTGTTGTCAGACCACAGAGATTGATGAGGTTCTCAGGCTGGTTTGTTGGATGCTGCTCAACAATTTGCAGATCACCCAGATGGTGTTGCAAGCCCAAACTGTGTTGCGTTGTTTGCTGGTCAGTCATTTGCAGATCACCCATATGGTCTGCGAGTGGCGGAGCACAAATTTGTGGTTCATCCGAACAATGCTGGTCAGCCATTTGCAGATCTCCCATACCGGGCAGCTCTGTTAGATGATACATATAGTTTATCACCGAACGCGAATGAGCGCCAAAACCTTCCGAACTCGTGCGGTCACCGAACACGAATGAGCGCCAAAACCCGCCGAACGCGAACATAAAAATATAATTAAAAAAAAAGGTTTCTCAGAAAAATCTGAGAAAAATATAAGTTATATAAAATAATAATACAAACACCTTTGGACTGGGAGGTATGTTCAAATTCGTAACCAAAAACTCGAGTTAAAAATAAAAAACCTAGTCCTGCAGAACATCTGTTAAAATTGGAACGATACATAGAAAGAAGATTGGCATGGCCCCTGAGCAATACGAAGAAAGAAGATTAGCATGACCCCTGCGCAAGGATGACACGCATAAATCGACAAATGGTCCAAATGGTCCAAATTATTAAAAAAAAAAAAAAAAAAAAAAAAACTAATGAAAACATCATTAAAAACTAGGCTACCAGAGTGGCCTGGGGTCACTTACCCGGCCGGGCCAAAAAAATAAAAATAAAAAAATTATTTCTAAATTTTATTTTTTATTTTAAATTGGGTGAAGAATTTCGATGTAACCCTGAGGCAAAAGTTGTTCAGTTTATTTTTCTGCATAACATAGTTTTTGTTCGGATTTTTCGGATGTTTTTTTGTTTTATTTTTTTTTTGCTGGGACCTTCCTTGGTCCTTGCACGGGCTGGCCACCCGGGACCCGGGCGGCCCGGCTGGTAGCCTAGTTAAAAAAGGGATAGTTTGGAAAATACCCCCATAAGTTGAGATATATGCCAAAAGGCCCCTAAAAGATGTGGGTAGAGCGAAATGCCCCTCTGATAAAAAACAAAATTTGTGAAATACCCGTTGCATCAGTTGGACCCCACCATCGTTGCGATATATCCCTACCGGGTACCATCCAACTTTGCAAAATACCCCAGTACTTGCCAACTTTTCCAAGGCCCGGTTGCAAAAGGCCAAGGCCCAAACGGCGAGGTCCAGATTGCAAATTTGCACACCCTCCTGACATGACAGGGGCATAACACAAAGATTTTGTCCCAAAGGGGCATTCCGCTCTGCCCACATCTTTCAGGGGCATTTTGGCATATATCTCAACTTATGGGGGTATTTCACAAATTATCCCTTAAAAAACATATGTTTGACCAAACACGTTCGGGAGACATTCGACGGAACACCCAAACATGTTCAGGCGTTCGGGAAAGCCCCGAACATGTTCGCTGTGCTACGCAGCCTCTCTCAGTACCATTTCTTTGACCGAATCTGGCTACTAAGCCTTGTACAACTTTACACTTAGTTACATCCCACAAGCCAAGTGCTTATGGGAGTACGATGTTTCTCTCAGTACCATTTCTTTGACCGAATCTGGCTACTAAGCCTTGTACAACTTTACACTTAGTTACATCCCACAAGCCAAGTGCTTATGGGAGTACGATGTTTTTGTTATTCATAGCTGCAGAGTCAGTGCCCTGTCTCTTATACACATCTAGATGTGTATAAGAGACAGGCATTCCCCAGAATGGAATGACGGTAAGACCTAAGGGTTTTTCGATTTATCTGGAAAAAAAAGTGAAAAAAAACTATGTTATGCAGAGAAAAAAACTGAGCAAGTTTTTTTTTTTTTTTTTTTGAACGCTCTGTTTCCATTGAAATTATGCCGGGAAACAGGCCCAGCTTCCCTTACATCATTAGGCACAGTCGTTGGGCTGAGCGAGGCTCTCTGGCCAAGCAAAGGCCTGACCATGGCTTTACCAAAGCAATTCAATCACTAAAAAGCCCTAGCGGCAGTGCACCAAACCGAGCCCCAACTTCTCGATCCCTTCAATCCTCTTCCATCAGTGTCAAGTCGAAATTCCTTACCAATTAGTAATTACCGTTAAAAAATCGAGTTTATTTATTTATTTGCTTTTCGCGGCCAGTCAAGTGGGTCCAGGCCCCAGGCCACTCTGCTAGCCAAGGATTTAAACTTTAAAGTTTAAACTTTAAAGTTTAAACTGATTTGGAACATTTGATCATTGCTTGTAATTTTCAATCCCATCTTGTGGAATTTCAAACTCAGTACTTACTGTAAACTTCCCCTTTCCATGATACTGATTGTCGTTCCACTGTCCGGCATAGACAGCACCACTTGCAAATTTGAAAACCCCTGCATCATCCATCCAGGGTATGCCATTTGAGGGATTGGCAGCACATTGAAAAAAAAAAAAAAAAAAAAAAAAAAAACCGGGAAAAATAAATAAATAAATAATAAAGTTATAAAATAAAAGAAACAAACAAGGAAAAAAAAAAAAGAGAAAAAGAGCAAAGTTCAGCAAACTTTCTTTTTTTTCCCAAACAAAGGCATCCCGGTGAGTGTCCGCTGTCCAGAGTTGGTCCCACTGGCCAATGCAGCGTACACCATTGACAAGCCTCATGCTGGGAACTGGGCCCCGTGTTCCAGACTACACTACAATGATATCAAATGTCTCTCGCCAGAGAAAGAAAGTGGCCCAGAACAACATTGGTTACCCTGACGGGCCTGATCATTGATTTAGTTAAAACTTAAAAATGAGATCTTTTGTTTAGTTGCAAGAAATCGAGTGTCCAAAGTTTCCCAGTCTTTTTGTGTATTTTTTGAGCCCATACTACCCACACAGTCCACACCTACGGCATTCCTTTGTCATTGGGTCATAATTTCATAAAATGTACAAAACTAGTATTAAATCATCATGCGTAAAGAAAAAAGAGTGTTCTTCGTGCTTGCAGTCAGATATTAAATCATGCCTCAAGGAAAAAAGAGTGTTCTTCATGCTTGCAGTCAGATAAATGTCACTCTTAAAGTGCTAGTACCTTTGTCGGTCCGGAAAATAATGGGCCTCCGACCTTTCAGGAGGCCGAAACGAAACGACGGCCGCCGATCAGATTTATCAACAGCAGCCGTTGTCAGTCCCGGCCCCCTAAAAGTTCGGGGAGGACTAGGCTAAAACTTGTCGAAACCGGACGGCAAAGGTACTAGTGGTTTAAGGCCTGATTTAGTGCTACTTTCTGCACATTTTATGATTTTATGACAAAGGAATGATGTTCATTTAACTGTGTTCCTTGTAGGTGCGTAGTATTATGGATCAAAAGACTCAAAACTTAAAAGAATAGTAAAATACACAAAACACACGGAAATTTTCGATAATTCAATTTCGTGCAATTAAGAAAAAATCTCATTTTTAACTAATGGGCGTGTCCTAGGAAACCCAAGAGAACGTGCAGAAGGCGAATTTTATCCGAAGACCCGTCTCTTCAGCCCCCAGAAAGCGACTGGATATTGCCTTCAAAGTTCAAACCTATCAAGCCTCCAAATGCCGTTAATCAAGTGCTTATTCACCCAACCCAAGCCAGAACAGTCTGAAGCTGGCCTGAATGTAAAGTCCACAGGACCGAAGTGATCAGCAAAGTCTGAAGCTGGCCTAAATGCAAAGGACTGATCAATAGTCGACCAATCTGTGAAGCAAAAGTGAACCTCTTAAGAACTAGAGACATCCCCATCTATCCTTGCTATCCTGGATTCCGTGTTGTTTCACCCTCCGTCCCTCCGTCCCTCCCTCCCTGCCTCCCTTCTTGCCTCCCTCCCTCTGTGCCTCCATCCCTTCGTTCCTGTCTCTCTGTCCCTCCGCCCCTCCGCCCCTCCGCCCCTCCATCCATCCGTCCATCCATCCATCAACCCACCCACCCATCCACCCAAATGTGCAAATC